ACAGTAATCGGAGCCCCAATCCACGTGAAGAAGACGGAGAATCCGACAAAAGAGCAGATAAATGAGCTGCATGAGGAGTATGTGAAGAGGTTGACCGAGTTGTTCGAGGAGCACAAGGAGAGGTTCGGTGTGAGCAAGGAGACAAAGTTGACGTTGAAATAAAGGGTTTTGTAAAAATTGAAAAATAAAATAAAATTGTTCTGATATTCGATCACTTTTTTCTGCATCTGTACTTCCCGGAGAAGGAGGCTGCCGCTCCTCTTCCTTTTGTTACGCCCTCTGCTTGTCAGCTGCGTTGGGCGCGAGTGGTCTAGTGGATATCGCTGCTGTTTTGGAAAAGTTGACCGCGGGTTCAACCCCCACTGGAGTCAAATCTTTTTTTCTTTTTTTTTATAGTGCCAGGATAATTTCAGTTGGCGAACAAAACAATTTTATTCATTCGAAAATAAAAACGGAGCCATGAATCCGTTCGACTGTCTCCTAAAACCATTCTTCAGATTCACTCAGCGAACCTCGACATTCTCTTACTTCTTGAAAATATCTTTCACGCCAATATCTCACACTTGCCGTCTCCTCAAATGGCCCTCTATCCTCTCTTCTACGCTTATCCTTCAGCTCTTTCTCGTACAATCTACCGCGCCTCTCCTCTTCCGTTTCCCTCCGAATCTTCTTCATATCCGGCTCCGGCTCATTCTGATCCGTTATCTCTATTCCTCTTCCTGCCAGAGCTCTCTCCTGTCTCCGGTATTCATTGAAATCTCGTCCATTATACGGTTTGAATTGGGCGGTTGGTGTCCATGCCATACGAGTTTTGTAGACAAATTTGTAGCGGACAATTTGAGCGATTGCCAACACCCCAACGACGGCAAGAGTGGATTTAGCGACTCGAAATCCGTTGGAGTAGATTTCAAATAAAATCATCCCGGAGAAAATCCCAATCAGCACATATCGATAGTAGAATCTCAAGCGCTTACGGTGTTGATACAGTAGGGCTCGGTGTCGTTTGTTGAACGTCTGAAAAGTTTATATTTGCCTTAAAGGTGCACGTCAGGGCTTATTGTCAAAAAAAATTTTTTTCAGTTTCTTCAATCATTCACGGTGAGTTTTTTTGTACGTGTTTTCAAAAGGTTTCATTCGCGGGTTCTGTCTTACTGTAGGGTCGCATGCTAACTGCGGCGCGACTCAGCGATACGTAGGCTGAAAACATGGTGCGCGCTCCTTCGGCTTAAGCGCGGCTTACTGTCAGAATTTAAAGACGCAATATGAAATTTGTGTAAGCCCGTGTGAGATTGAGCGTAGAAACCGAGAAAAAATTGGACGCACGAAATAATTCACCGTGATCATTTTCCAAAAAAATTTTCGGCGAAACGTTTTTCGCTTTTTTTTTATCGAAAAATGTTTTCGGAGAGAAATTTTTCTCGGAAAAAATCGAAAAAAAATTCGAAAAACCCGGTTTTTTAGTTGTATAAATTTTATGTTTTCACCGCCTTTTCATCCATTTTTTCCTGAAAAAAACCAAAACTTTCGAAAAAAAAATTGAAAATCACGAAAAATCATTTTTCGTTTTTCGGATCAAATTTTTATTTCGCACAGCTCTAATTCAGATGCACCTTCAATGTAACTGAAGCTACACTCACCATAATAATCGTAAAGAATCGCTTAAAATGAAAAACTCCAAATGTGAAAATCTGAACAAAAACGACATATGGAGCGAGGAGGAACGGGAGTTGGCGATGGTCCTGAAACAAAATTCTTGAGCTCAAAATAGCATGCGCCTTTAACTCACATTGAGATAAAAATGTATGAATAAAACGAATGAGCAATGAAAAACCAAAGAAACGTATCGAATCAAAAAATCCGGGAGACGGGCGGTGCTTTTGAAAATTCGATATACGGTGGCAATGGATCCCTCTGCCATCAGCATCTGGAACAAACCAAAAATTGTTTTTTGGTATCTTAAAGGGACATACTAAACTCGAAAATTCCCAAGAGCAAAAGAGCATCATGAAAACGAGCATGAGCAGTTTGTGAGACATGTTTTGAAAGAAGAACACATAGAGAAATTCATAGACCTGCACATCACTGTAGACTAGGATTCCTGGAAAAAAAATTTATTGCCTTATCGCCTTAGGGGGGCTCACTAAAATCATCCACTGTCAACTGTCTCTTCTCAGTTCTCATCATCCAAATCGACGCGCCAACCATTGTCGCCATTCCGAACAACGTGCTAAAGAGCATCAGGAAAAACAGTCCTCCGATTTTGGCTCGGATTAGGTCGATGAATAATCGATTCGAGAATTTGTTAGCCGAGCCAATACCCAGGTAGCTTGCGTCCACAGTTCCGAATATAATTAGGCTCTGTAACCAGAAATTTTTGGGGTTCATGGAAAAAAGGCGGAAAGCTGAATCAGAACTCTTCCATATCTCAAAAGTGGGCGGAGCTAGAAAAGAGTTGTCAACAGCAAACTTTTTTAGAATTAAATTTGGAGCAAGTTTGCAGTTGACAACTTTTTTCTAGCCCCGCCCACTTTTGAGATAAGGGACCGTTCTGATCCAGCCTACCGCCAAAAAGAGCATTGATACCCTGGACCATAACCGGCCGAACCAGAACTCCGGCTCTGTGCCCCTGTATAGGTCTTGATTCTGGAAAAACTGGGGAGGTAAAAATATGAAATTGTAGAGGAAAAAATTATCTATTGAATGATATAAATTTCGTATGGGGTTGTATAAAAAAAATGCCTCAAAAAGCTGAAAAACAAAAAAAATCGGTACTAAAAATTTGATTTTCACTATTTTGACAAAAACATTCTGAAACAGCTCTATCTGAAATTTATACCAATCGACTAGCCTGGACGCCCTGAACTCGCTACGCTCGTTCAGGTCGTCCAGGCTAGACACGGCGCAAGCGCCGTGTGTTGTCAGGTTAATTTTCGAATCAAAATTTTTGAAAATGAAATCTGCGAAAAACGATCACTTTTTTCTCGAGAAGAGAGAGAGGAGCAGCTTTGACCCTAAGGTCACAACGTTATATTGGGAAAAATTGCCGTCGAACCACTATTCGTCAAAAAATTAGCCATTGTTTTATGGCCTACATTCTTGGTATTGCTCCGATTCAGATGAGTTTAAGCTCATTTGGTAGCCCTCCCCGAGTTTTATGTATTCACCCATTTTCATAATAAACTCATGAAAAGTGAGCCAGACAAAAAATATTTAAGAAAAGATTTTCGAAATTTTCAGTATGTCATTTTTTTGACACTTTGGTCAGGCGCAAAACTCTCATCATATCTCAGCTAACATTGATCGGATCACTTTCCAAACTTGACGCCACATAGCCAAGATGGTTTCACAGTCGCCCAAAAAAATTCAGCTCAAAAACATTCAAATTCACGGAACTGCAGTCTTCCGAAGTTGTGAAAAAGTAAAAAGTGTCAAAGTTTTTGACAAGCTCCGCCCACAAAATGTCAAGCCCTAGGGAATCGTGTTTTAATAGAGAAGGTAGATAGAGAATTTTTTCCTCTAGATTTTTATATTTTTACATTCCCAGATGCCCAGATTCTTCGAAACTAAGGCCCCACAAAGGAACAAAACCGGCCAATAGCATCACGAGGGAGTTTTTTCTCACCTAGGTCAGGAGTTTTCTATAAATTGGTGGTCTGGAAGTAAATGCTTTTGTGAGTAAATTCTGAAATTTCCAGCTCTTACTGGAGCCTGAGAGCCTGGAAATCTTCATCTGAGTGTCTGACCCCGCCCTCTTATTCACAGTGTATTGTGGACGTGGCGATTTCAGAGTAAGATTTCCAGCCTCTCAGGCTCCTGTGAGGACTGGAAATTTCAGAATCCACACCCAGAAGCATCTACTTTTAGATCACCATATTCATAGAAAATTCCTAACCCATAGGAGCAAATATTCCCTTGTAAGAAAACCAAAAAAAAACCCACATGTATCGCCGCCACCACCCAAGTTTTAATCTCCAGAAGCTTCCAAAAATCAGCTCCTATCACCGAAACTAGAATTGCAGCTGAATGTCCCCAACTCCATATAATAGCGACGAGGGTACAGGTGCTCGTGAAGATAGATCCATAGAAAACGACATGTTGGATCCGGTGGAAATACGTTTTCACCCATAACAAACAAACGAAGAACAGGAGGATGGAGAGGAAGGTGGCCGCGGAGATATAGTGGGAGTGTTGGTACACGGGGTCAAAGATTCTGGAAAAGTAGGGTCCTGCGCCTTTAAACTAAAGGGGTTACCTATCCGGTGGAGCCTGTGCAACCGAATATTCCCTGATGAATTCATCGGATTGAAGGTAAGCTTGTACTCTATCCCGAATATACTCTCGTTTCGATTTCCCGAATCGATAATTACCGTAGTCCCGAGGGAGGCATTGCCCCTCTCGTAGGAATTCATCGTCACCACATCTAGGTACATATCCATCTGGAAAAATTATTACTGTATGTTCAGAGCAGTATATCTCGGTTGTCTTTGAAGTTATCAAAAAGTTGTTAACTAGTAAAATGTTTAAAATGACTTGCTTAACATTTTTGTAGTTGACCACTTTTTGATAGCTTTCGAGATAACGGAGATATACTGCTCTGAACACACATGGATTTTTGATTTGGATCTATAATGATCGAAAACTTGGAATTCCCGCCAAAAGGACTGTGTCTATAAGATTACTGCTAGTGTGCGCAGAATTAGTCTGAGCACAATGGTTTTTTTCACAGAATTGAGAAAAATTGATTTTGAATCGAGTTATTAGCGATTTAGTTACCGTAAATCCTTTCATTCTGGTACAGTGTGTTCAGAGCAGCATATCTCGGTTGTCTTTGTAGCTATCAAAAAATGATCAACTAAAAAATTGTTCAAAATGCTTTGCCGAGCATTTTTTCAGTTGATCACTTTTTGATAGCTCTGAAGGTAACTGAGATATAATGCTTTGAATATACAGTACTCTGCTCGCCAGGTTTGGGGTATGTATCTCCTCACCCTGCTGCTTGCGGCGTATGGCGCAGTGGTTAGCGCGCTTGTCTATGAATTTTTCGACGCTGGTTCGACTCCCGGAGGGTGTCAAACTTTTTTTCTTTTCATTTTTTTATCCTAAAATCCATTTCCCACCACTCACTCATCATTCCTTTCATCTGAGACGGTCCAACCCACTCAACCCTCTCCGCTATCAACGAATAAAACAGCTCCAAAGTCATCGAAGCGAAACGATGATCGAATCGAATAGCAGATGAGCTAATGTATTGAACAATGACTACCAGTAATCCTATCCCAAAAAACATTGGTGACATTCGATGGAATAAGATAACGGGAGGCACGTTGGTGTACTGAGCAAGAGTGTATTGGGCAAAGTTGATGGGGAAGGTGAGGACGATGGTGGAGAGGAGGAATGGGATCAGGAAGCAGTCTGGAATAAAAATTCTGGAATCACACTAGGCCGAGGGGTCAAAAAAACTCACATCCTCCATATCTCATCATGACAAACGGGAAGGCAATCGAGTGAGAGATGTTCAAGCCGGCCATCAATGAGAAATATTTTCCACGTATCTCCTCGGGCATGATCAGTTTTGGTATAGATTGTTCATAGGTTTCATCGATGAACTAGAAAAAAAAAGATTGGGGTTACTGTATGTTTATTCAGGATCGGAAAAAAAAGGAAAATTCGATATATCGGGGGTTTCCAATGGATAATTTCCGGAAAAAGTGGCGGAAAGGTCGAAAAACACTCGGAAAATACAAGAAACTTTTCCTGGAAGCCCTACTAATAAGATGTGACTGTTCTATCAAATTGAACAGTCATATTTGGCTGGAAATTGGGAAAAATCTTCGATTCTCAATAAAAATTGAGAGAAATTTGCCGAAAAAGTGCAAAAATATCAAAATTAGGCCGGAATGGTCCAATTGTTGTGCAGAAACTCGCAGGATTTCCGAGTTTCCCAAAAATTCCAAAATTTCTCAACGGATAATTTTTCGGGAAAGTTAATTTTTCGAAAAAAAAAACTTTTTGTAAAAATTGGATTCCCCGTTTTCCGAAAAAAAAATTATTCAGAAAATATTTTTTCCGAATTTTTTTCCCAAACAAGCCCGGTGTGCAGTACACATTTACAAGAAAATTTTTTTCTCAAGTGACTTCGGATTTTCCTATAAATTGATGGTCTGAAAACAGCTGTCCCTGTAAGTTGTTTCTGAAATTTCTAGCCCTCATTGGAGCCTGCGAGTCTGGAAATCTTCCTCTGAAAGTCTGACCCGCCCCTTGATTTTCGATCGATATGGACTTTCAGATAGCGGGTTCCCAGACTCTCAGGCTCTAGTGAAAACTAGAAATTTCAGAATCCACTCACAGGGACAGCTACTTTCAGAGCGCCAATTTTTTTTAGAAAATTCCAAAGCAGACAAACCTTATAACCATTCAATGGCTCCGGCTCTTTTTCGACCTCTGGCCTCCCTCTTTGAAAATTCGACAAGTATTCCTCCAACTCCTCATCATCCCCCAACTGGAACGGCTCACATTCGAAATACTGCTCCAGCGTCCTCTTCCCCACTCGTTTCACCCAGTTCATCGTGTGCACTTCACGGGTGTTAGGCTCTTTACAGATGGGAGCATCACTAGAAAAATACTTTTTTTGCCGAGCCAGAGCAAAAAAAGCAGCTCGGGGTGCCCTTGGTTACCTATCCTGTTTCCAGTCCTCCTCCGACGACTCGGCACTTGAATCCTTACTTTTATCATTATTCGTACTCATTTTGAAATGGAAAATTTGGAAATTTATTGATTGAATTTAAAAAAATTATCTACAAAGCAATTTGGAAGGGGCGTGGCAAGGGCAGAGGGGGACGTGGATGAATACAGAAAATTTGGGGAAAGGAACACGTCGAAAATCGGAAAAATCGGGAGAATTAATGAATTGAATGACACCGGACACGATACATCTTGTCGCACGTCTTGCTGGTCTTACGGCCCATTGTCGGGGTGCACTGGACAACGATTTCGCCGTTGGGAAGGACTTTGAGACGTTGACCGTATTCTCTGGAAGTACGGTAGGAGGTTTAAAGGTGCATCTTTTTTTTGGGATTTTAGGAGGCTACGAAACCTTGAAACCCTTATAACTCCGTTCAGAAGAGAGCGTTTGGTATGGTTGTTGGACTCTTTTGTAGCAAATTTCAGGGAGAATTTAGATTGGGTAAAAAGTTATTTTTTCAAATTTTTTGTGCCTTAAAAAAAATTTTTTGTTGGTGGTTCTAGAGTAACGATGAAGGCTAAGCAAGTTTTTGCTAACCTCAATTTCACAGTAAGCGCATAGTTTACCATTAAAGCGCCCGTAATTCTTACCGGTAGGCTCTCAGGGAAGGTGCGCCTTAAAGGTACATCCGTAATCCTTATTCTTCGGTTCCAACCCCGTATAAGCAGACCAAAGCTGATTACGTTTTCCGGAATCCAGAAAAAGTTGAATTCCCGCCAGAACAATTTAGATTTGAATTACCGCCTACCCCCCGCTCTTGTTAAGTGCCTACACCTGATTGTTGGGCATGTATCGGATGAGAAAATGCTCTTCAGACTGAGCTAATTCAGCAGACCAAAGCTGACTGTTTTCAAATGTCAGACTTTTTTCTCTCTAGTCTGAGCAGAATGGTTTTCACAAAATTGATTTTGAATCGAGTTACTAGCGAGTTAGTTACCGTAATTTCTGTAAATCAGGACTTTTCTGTTGTGAGCAACATATCTCGGTTATCTCCAGAGCTATCAAAAAGTAGTCAACTAGTAAAATGTTTAAAATGTTTTGCTTAACATTTCTTTAGTTGACTACTTTTTGATAGCTTTGAAGGCAATCGAGATATGCTGCTTAGAACACAGTACACTCCGATTATCTCTCTCTCTCTCTCTCTCTCTCTCTCTCTCCCTTATTAAGCTCAAACTCACTTCTCAGCCTTCAATAAAATGATAAGTTTCCTGTAGAATGATCCGTGAAGCAGCATTTCTCAGGCAGTTCAGAACGACGGAAAAAACGAAAGACTGATTGTTTTCACCATGAAAAAAGGGCGTGGAAGGAAATGTACGAATCCGGCACCACGCCGGAAATTAGATCAGCGAGGGTGGATGAACCAGGCGCGTCTCTAAATTTTTTTTCAAAATTGAATTTCTCAATTAGAGCAATTGGAGCAGTCGGAGCACAATTGTGTGTGTGCAAAATAATTCACTTAAGAAGAGCAAAAGATTTTATTCTTTTGACAAGAAGAATTCCAGCAAGATGTTCTGGCTGGAAAACTATAAAAGAAAGCTATACAAAAAAGGAAAAAAACAAAGTATAGGAATTATTTGATCTTCTTTTTGTTTATGGCTCGAGCCATAATCAATTTGGAGCGCGCCTCCTCGAATTCCATCAGCACTTTTATGATACGTTGGTAGAAGTCGGAGCGGAGTCTGGAAAAATTTTGAAGTATAGGGGACCTCGGAGTCAATTTTTGGCGTATGAAAACTTAGATTCTCCTCAAAAATTCGTTCTAGATGATCGAAAAACCGGCTCAGCGAAATTTCGAAACCCGACATTTCGCACGGTAGATTTTTTGTACGTCCAATTTTTTTTTCGGTTTCTACGCTCCATCTCACACGGGCTTTTACAATTTCATATTGCGTCTTTAAATTCTGACAGTAAGCCGCGCTTAGGCCGAAGGAGCGCGCACCATGTTTCCAGAGCACTTTTCAATAATAACTTTCGATCAAATTCTGTCAATATTTCATTGATGAGAAGAAATATTTCTATTCAATTTGATTAAAAAAAAGCATAGGCACTGATTTTTAATTTTTCGACAAAATGAGAAAAATGCCTACGTATCGCTGAGTCGCTAGGCAGTTGGCAGGCGACCATACAGTAAGACAGAATGAAACCTTTTGAAAACACGTACAAAAAATTACCGTGATTTCGGAACCCGAACATCGCGAAACCGTTGAAAATTAGGCTTGAAATTTTCAAATTTTTTGACGATTTTAATCGATTTTCTGGAAAATTAGAACAAAATGAAATTTCAAAAAAAAAAATTTTCGAAAAACAAAATGACCGAAAAAAATTTCGAAAAAAAATTGAAATTCTATTTCGTTCTCATAACCCAAAAAATCGATTAAAACCATCGAAAAATTTGAAAATTACGAAATTCGCGCCTTAAAAGTACCCCTCCTCACCCCATATCAGCCATCTTCGATCCATATTTCAACTGATAAAGGATATCCCTCGCCATGAAATGTCTGGACTGAGCTACACAATTAGTCTCGACACACACAATTCCGGATGGTTGCCCGTCTCGACCAACTCGTTCCAGGGAGTTCTAAAACGTAAAAAAAAAATGGAAAAAAGACTTCACTTTGTTGGAAAAATTACCTGCGGTGTCTCAAAATAGTCTATATCGATGGCTTGACCTACAAACATCTCGTAGAGGGTATTGTGACTGATCGGGCGCCAAAGATGGATTTTCGATTTGGATCTGAAAATTGAATTTGAATTTCCGTTGAACTGTTGGTGTGCAAAATTTCAGTCTGAGCACAATGATTTTCACAGAATTGAAAAATATTGATTTTGAACCGAGTGATTAGAGATTCAGTCACCGTAAGCCATGTAATTCAGAACTGTCTGTTCAGAGCAGCATATCTCGGTTATCTTCAGAGCTATCAAAAATTTTTCAACTGGTAAAATGTTTGAAATTTGTTGCTGAACATTTTTTCAGTTGACTACTTTTTGATAGGTTCAAAGATAACTGAGATATGCGGTTCGGAACAAAGGGCTCACTCTTATATTCTCTCTCTCTCTCTCTCTCTCTCTCTCTCTCTCTCCCTCTCTCCCTCTCTCTCTCTTCGACCCCGAGAGAGCGCAGAGAAGCCAGACACTCTCGTTTCTCTGCGTCTTTTCTATCATTAACACATGTTTGAAGAGAGCGCAGAGATGCCAGGGTGTTCGACTTCTCTGCGTCCTCCCCCTCCTCTCTCTCTTTTCTCCAACTCACCTCCCCGGCTCCAAACTGATAAACGTCGACCCATATCCTGCGATATACTGCCTTCCCCAATAGTCCACAGCCATAAACCT